CCCAACTTTCCGAGACATCCAGCCCCTTTATGTAGACGAAAATTCGGAAACTGAAAAAGTTTGTACACAGCACAGTTTGTAACTGCATTGCCGCGACGACAATAACTCACACCCTGCCGGAAGTGCCATTGTGTTGGGGAGTGTTTTTGTATGGCCTGGGAATCCTTGAAATAAAAAGCCATTAGAGTTTCCTGCATTCGATGATGCATAACACTTCACTCTCTGGAATGTTTCTCCACTCTTACGTTTCTGCCGAATTTTAAGGACATTACTTTCAGGAAATGGATGTAAAATAATACGTGTGTCTCATTTTTTGGCGCATGATCTGGAAGGAGCTGTAATGTGTTTACCTCAAAAATACAAATATATACAAAAATACAAAATGCCAAAAATCGCAAATGAGCTGAAAACTTCAAAGGTTGCAAGAGATTTCACAATTTTATAAGTGTACAGAAGCACACAATCAGTTTTACATAATGCTATTCACACTTGGCATACACATGCATACTATAGCATGCCTGAATTTATCACTTTGTCAGGGACATAACAAATCGGTCAAAAGAACCACTGAAGTGTGAGTAGGAGATAGGATCCTGGAAGATTGAAGAGCAGCCAAGCACACTGCTGACCTTGTTCATTTCAGTCGTGGGATTTCGTAAAATGCTTATAGATATTATATGCATTGTGTGTAGATTCAGTCTGTTGGTACAGAATGGTAGACAGTAGCCACGTCTGTGGCGTTGTCCATTCAGACGAAAACAGACCCCTTCGTGAACTTTTCAACTGCGTATGTTTACAATTGTAAATGTGATGAGTCCATAACTTGTTCGTGTACTTTGTACATTATTCCCGTCGGTTCAGACTTACAAACTATCTATGAATGGGTTGGCATCACACTCAAAAGATTCATGTACGTGTATTCATGAACATCTCAACTGCACTGTTATTTCACTGTGCCTATTTTGTGTCTGTAATTTGTACAGACACAATGATTCTCATTGCTCCAGACTTTTCAACAATTTTCTTTTCATCTGATTGAACACAAAAGGTGCCTTCGGAATTCGACCTTTTATGGAGATGGATTATTGTATATTTTATGTAACAGTCGCTTTTGGATTGATAGGGACTGAGCATGTATAGGTTGATACATGAACAGTTGTGCATCTGGGACTGTGTTGTTCAGTGTTTACTTACCGCACTGTATTGCTTCTGCAAATGTAATTTTAGTTTTACACGTTGATGACAGCCAGCCGGACTCTCACAGATCGACAATACGCCCTGGTTTGTCCCAGCGCACACATACATGTGTGACATGCATGAGAATTTGGTAGTCAAATATGTATCATCAGTGATGGCATATCACAAGCTCTCCATTTATGACTGTGATAGCCTGAATATCAGAGAATCTATAAAATCATACCTAAATGTATAGTGTGCATGACAACTTGTAGGTTTGAAGTTTGAGTGTTGAAAGCAGAAAATCACTGATAGTTTTATGAGTATGGTGAAGTACAAAATGAGTGTGAGGACTCTGATATTGACAGAAGTTGGCTGTGGAAGCTCAACGTAGCCTGCACCAAACGTGCACGAACCTGTGTACATGTACACATTGAGTCCCCCTCCCCGACCATTGTTGCTAGATATGTGTACAATAAAAGTCTGGCTTTAGTGTTCGTTGTTTGAATAATCGGATAATTTATAATCCCAGAACTTTTTTGCTTATTAGCTTTCCTGATTTATATCTCAAGATAAAACTTATTTGGGCATACAACTTCAGTCTTCACTTCTGACGAAGGGCTGAGCACGCAGTCCGAAACGTTGAGTATACTCACAGTTCTTTTCAAAACCACACATACTCACAAGAGATATATTCCTTCACATGGTGCTACCACAAATCTTTCCACTTAAAACTTCAGTCTTTTGAAATTCACCTCCAAGAAAACTCGTTATGAATAAAAGTGCAGGTAGTTACCCTCAACTGACATTTAATTTTTTTTGGGGGGGGGAACACCACAAATATAATTGCTTCTAAAATATCTTGAAGGCGTAACTGCCCTGCACAGAAGATTTGATCATCAACCTTCATGATCTGATTTACGTCATGGCTTATACCCACACGCTGACCAGACAAAGAGTCTCCACCAAATTAAATATATTGTAAATCTCCTGGCCATAGCTGCCAGTAAATCAAAGAGGAATAACTTTATAAATTGGCGATTCCCCAGTGTGGTATCAGGAGCCCCTGAGCTTCCCTGACAACATTCCCCTGGCATCAGATGTCGGTAGTGACATCAGTTGGCTTGCTGGTAGATTACTGTGGTCAAGTATACCTCCGTGGTTCTGTTAAATTAACTCAGTGTTGGAGGGAGTTCCTTGATTAGGGTCTGCTTGGTAGGCAGCCAGGGAGAGCTTCTTTGACTTTGATTTGACCTCTAGAAACATCCTTGGGGTATTTTGCTGATTGATTTATCTTGGTTGTGGAATAAACAAAGGGCTTTCCCCCTCAAAATATCCCTCTGTTCCTCAGAGACAATTTTTATTTGGTTGAAAGTTTAGTACATCGAGCTAATATTTTTATTCCTTAATTTTGAAAATGTTTCAGTTCACTGAAATTTGATTAAAATTGCTCAAAAATTCCTAGACATTTGGGTTGAATTTCCCTTCTTATGTTATTTGCTAACACCCCTGAATACCACAAAGTACTTCTCAGTAGTAAAATGTAGTATCCACTACTGTCACTTGTCACATGTAAGAGGACATTACCCTATTTTTCTCTGAAGCCATAAAATACAGTAGATAAGACAATGTACCATACAGTGCTATAGCACTATGACCGAATGGCTTTATTGTTCTTTGTACGAGTAACAACGGAAGTGTCCAAGCCAGAAGTAGTAATTTGTAGTGCTTGTTCCTTCAGGCTGAGACTCCTGCCTGGTGTTTGGAGTACTGAGTACTGCAAGCTAAGTTTTATGCAGAATTGTTAGGGTTTAGAAACCCGAATTGCAAATTGAATGTGCACCTAGCTTGTGCTCTGATTTGCCATATCTTGCAAAAGGTATCTGCACACATGATGCAGTTTCTTAATTGTGCAGGACTCCCCCCTTGCGCACTGTCACACTCAATTGAAAGCCAGCCCCAGGGACATGTGTGAAATTCCAGACCAGAGGCATCTTCCTTTGCTGGTGGTGTGTTTGTCGTTAACCCGGTTGACCTTTGATGACATCTACACTGATGTGCCCGAATGCACTGGGAAGAGATGATGCAAGGCATGGGTCAGAGCATAGAGCTAGCTGGGAACAGCTTTATGGTTGGACTTGGAGCATGGTTGGAGTCACTGAGAGCCAGTTTTTAAGAGTCATGATGTGTGGTCATTACTATTAGGAGGAAGATTGCGGCGGAGTTGAGAGACACTAAAAAGGGAGGTGCAACAACTGATGTTGCTTTTTTTTTTCCTCAGTAGAGGGGGCTAAGAGATTTTTACTGTATGGTAGGAACAGATGGAATAATATCTAGGTTTTCCGTGTTTTCTCTTAGTGGTTAACATTTTATCTACTGCAGCACAGGAAGGTTTTTCATTCCTTGCAAACAATTTCAATGCCAGGCACTAAAAACCCTGGCTTGATCAGAACTTACTGAGTTACTTGTATGTGTAGCAACATTATTCGTACATTGTGAATGCCTCTTTCAATAAATCTGGGCATAGTCATTATTAATTTATGTGCCCTAGTTGTTTTCCCCTCAACCACTGATGATATTTTAGTGCTAGAAACCTTAGAAGGTAATCGGCTGTTTTAGTGTGGCTTAAAATAGATCTGATGACATTAAGGTAATTCCAGAAATTAGGGGTCCATTTTTTGTGTCCCAGTTAAATCTGACATATGATTTTGTAAGTTCAGAACACATTTTCTAATTTCCAAGAGTGATGAATTAGAGTAAATTACCTGCCAAACTAATACTAATGGTTTGAAATTCCAGTGATATGTCAAATAACAAAGGTCAGATGTAACAGGGACACAGAAATGTCACACTTTTGGTCCCCTAATTTCTGGAATTACCCATTACCTTTCTGGAATTACCCAGTATTTCTGGAAATTCTGTAAAGTGAATTTCTGGTCATCGGTATGATTTGCACCATTTCTGTGGTAAGGTTCTGCTTGCAGTAGGACTAGTATTAATCTGCAAGCAATCTGGGGCCAATTTCACAAAATTTGCTTAAGCATGAAAAAACCTTGTTTGACGAATCAGGTTACCAGCCAAAACTCCGCGTGATGTATATTGTTTTGGAATGGTAATCACCTGTCTTTTGGTTAGCCTGACAATCACATAGATTTTGAGCAGGTAACCTTTGTTTTTTAAGCAAGTTTTTTTGTGCTTAAGCAGATTTTGAGCTTAAGCAGCTCTATGAAATTGGCCACTCAGGTCACGGTCTTAATACAGATACAGCCCAGCAGTCTCCAAGCATCTATCCCAAATGACCCGGCCATTTACCCCAGCTACATCTGCTCTGCACCTGTTGTTCATTGGATTAATAAACAGTCTAAAGGGTTTTTTTTGTCTTTGGTGGGAAGGACCCCGGGTGGTTAGTTACAGGGCCCTACTTTTGTCGTGGTTGTAATAATAAACAAAGTTTTCATCAATTTTGGAGTATCTAGTTGTGAGATGATGGATAAGTCGTGCATGAATTGTACAGCCTTGGTATTTTGATGCGGGAAATGTTTGTTTTTCAGTTTATTTTGTGAGGAGGAAAAATGTTTCCAATGGGTCCTGGTCCTGTTTCAAGACCCTGGGAGGGCCTCTTTCTCTTTCAGAGTTTCGACCAGATCTAAAGCAATCAGGTCCTTCAAAGGAGCGTTTAGGGTTCATGGCATTCTTGTTTAATTGACTGAAATTCATCCGATAGAAAGTTTCTGGGCAGGTATTTTATGGGCCCTTTTTTGGGGGGGGGGACTTTCAGCAGCGAAGTTAACCATCGTGTGTTTTCTTGTTTTTTTCCCTGCCAGGATGAAGGATATCTGCCGTTTACAAAGGAAAAGGCACCTCTGCAGGAGGATGCCAAAAATATTAGAGTTGAACGCTCCCCAGCAAAACTCTTTGAAACTGAGGAGATGGACATGTTAGAAAAGTTGCCCATTGAGGAGTGGGACAGGTCGAGACATCGCAGGCAAGCGGAGAATGAAGCGGGACCCTCCCTGACGCCCAGTGTATTTACGGACTTAGAGGGATCGGGAACTGAGGAACCAATCGGCAGTGGTACAGAGCCCCCAACTGGTAGGTCAGAGATCAAGGGTCATATGTCATGCACCAATGTCAGATTGAGGTCAAATGGTTAGAAAGAAGAGAGATGTATTTTGGGGGGGGGCGGCGCAGGAGCCGTATCCCTGGCATATGCAAACACAGAGTTTTTATTTACCTTTAACTTTGCTAAGCAGTTACATATAGTTTGTGGTAAGCAGCGACTGGAAGTTGGACATAGGTCTTTGCGTGCTGTTTTCCTTAATTTTTGGAGCCAAGAGCTCAGTGTAAGAGTAGTACAGTAGCTCACCGTACACGTTAGTGGCATTGTGTGGCCCACATGGCTAGTGCACACACTGATGGATTTGGTTATTGTTTCGTATGTGACTGGATCCCATGAAATGATTCCCAAGGCCATTTTTCCAGATCCCATGAAATGAGTCCCAAGGCCATTTTTTTCCAGATCCCATGAAATGAGTCCCAAGGCCATTTTTTCAGATCCCATGAAATGAGTCCCAAGGCCATTTTTTCAGATCACATGAAATGAGTTCCAAGGCCATTTTTTTCCAGATCCCATGAAATGAGTTCCAAGGCCATTTTTCAGATCCCATGAAATGAGTCCCAAGGCCTTTATTTCAGAAATGTTTTTGTTGTTTACATTAGAAAGAGCAAAGTGAGCTCTTTGCCCTGATGTGTTGCTTATTTTGGCATTTGGAAGAAAATTCACATCACCTAGGTGAAAAAACGTTGAAAGTTCTTATTGACTGACATCTTGCAAAATTATTTAAATGAGCTTCACCTCTAAATTTTTCATTTTTTTTTCAGTTTTCAGTTTTAGTTTTATTGTCTATTAAAATGGAAATTCTTTGTCGTAAAAACTCATTTAAAACCATTTAAAAATTATAGGAAGAGTAATTAAAAAAATATTTTAAAACAAGTATAAATATGAAGTAAAACTTATAAACGCAGTATGTTACACAAAATCTACCACAGACATTTCACCGTCACTACTGCCTCACCGTTAACAAATAATTAAATATTCAAAACAAAGGAGACATTTTACCAACATCACAAACAACAGTAAAAGAGAACTACCAAAACATCCACGGACAACCTATGACAACCGATCAAAAACAGAACAAAACAAGAATTACAGCTGTTCATTTAAAATACAAATAGACACTGGGACAAATGATTTCATAAATCTGCTCGTTCTGCAAGTAATACTTCACTTGGCTCTGTGACTCATTTTGTCAGGTTGGATCACAGTGATCTTGGCAGGCATGCATACCCCGGCATGCTGTATTCAAGGGAGGTACAGCTAATCCTGTAGTTTCTTCACGTTACGGAAATAAAGACTGCCTATCTGTTCCGGCAGAGGCCGGGCCGTGCTTGACCCATCAGACCCTAATCCCATATTTTTTTGTCTCTTGGTTCCCAGCTGCCGTGGCATACTACCGGATTCGTCTCTTGATCATGAACGTGAAATATACACTGGACCTGGGCAACCGGCTGTCTGTGGCCTTTGACGATCTGGCCAAATCTATCTCCTCAAGGGTATGTACACGTGCGTGCAATTAATGTCGCTGTTGAGAGTCCTGATGGAAGTTCTGGAGAAGTAATGAGAAGTCTTGGGAACTGTGCAGAGTGTAACAAAAAATGGTGGAAAACATGTTGTCAAAATCATAGAAATGAAGAGAAGTCATTATTCCTGGATGAGTTTAATGTAGTAAAGTTAAAAAAAATGGTTATGGAATTGGTATCTGTGCTGGAAATGTAAAACACAAAGTCTGTGGAGAAAATTTGAAACCCTGTTTGAAACATTTTCCCTTTTGAAATGGAAAAAGGCAGCTGAGATGTTTAAAAGTCAGAAGGACGCATGTATTTGCATAGTTGGATCCGTATTGTAAAATGTCAATTATTTCAAATCTGCAATATACAGGTTTTTTTTCCCAAAGTGGTTTGGAATTATTATTGATTCAGCATTTCTTTCAAATACTTTTGTCTTTACTTTTTCAGGTGGAAGCCATTTATACAGAAATCCCTGGCCCACAATTTGTCACAGTCCTTCAGTTTATGTAAGTGTAAATTTTTGTGATAAGTGACAAATGCATAAATGAATAAAAACACGTAGGATGTACCGTGTCACGTGATGGTCCATCGCAAGTTCCAGCTGGTCCATCACAAGTCTGTCACAAGTCGTCCAGCCTCCTGCTATGCCACAAGCTATTCAACTGGATCATGAGTAAAGCATTCATTGTCTTTGTTCACCCTGTTACTTGCGACTTGAGTCGTGAAATGACTTGGAGCTGGGCTTGTGGCTTGACTTGTGATGGACTCGGGTACAACTCTGCTATTTGACAACAAATTCACTCTTTCAGAACAGTCATTAGGTAATCTTCAACCTTGACATATTTTTTCTGTTACCATTCATCGCCAGACCCCGCGAGGATGGTTACATTGAAGCCCAGTTTGACCTAGGGTCAGAGGTTGTGTACAGCGAGTACACGCTACGTAGAGCCCTGGAAAGTAAAATAATGGGAGGCCAGTTGGGACAGCTGCAAGTTTCTCCCGATCTCTTGGAGTTTTCCCCGGTCAGCAGTAAGTAAATTCACCATCTGTTCAGGTTTTTTTTTCCCAGGAAGCTTTTTCTTGAAAATTGCAAAGGGGTAGGTTTTTTCCGTTTGAGAAAAGCAGGTATTTTTTCTATATTAAATTTCACTTGCTGTGTTGCTGGATGTTGTGCGACTGTAGTTTTATTTAGTTTATTCCACGGAGCTGTCTTGTTTCAGATGATCTTTGTAGTTACTGTCAGTTGGCGGTTGTTTTCCAGAAGAAGAGTAGAAGGTCCCATTTGGAAAGCATTAGTACCGAGTTTGATCAGGGACCATTTTGTCAACTTGCCTGGTAACCTACATACAAAGCGCATCCTGGGTACCGGGCAGAATCAACCAGTGCTTAACAGATGAGTCGCTGGTCCTACATGGCCGAGTGGAGAGGTGGTGCATGAAGTTGGGCTCTCGGAATTATTTAGCTGTGGCTTGAAATCACTTGAGTATGAGCTCCCGTAATTTCAAGCTACGGCCAAGTAATTCAGACCCAGCCTAAAAGGGCCATTTTTAAATTTCTTCCAGAAGAGAAAGTTATCCACTTTTAGATCTGTTGTGAATTGCGTGTACTTTGTTTTTACAAAACCCATGTCAACGCGTTGACTGCTGAGGTATACTTGTAGTTACAGGTGTACCAGATTCTGCCACTCTGAATATACTTACAGGAAAGGAAAGGCTATTCATTGTAATGTAAATTGAATACACTTGCATCTCCAAAGAGCACAATAAATACACTGTTGGCAGTGTGGAGGGTATTACATCTGTAAAATGCTCGTTTTAAATGGACACCTGAGAGGTACTTGTTAAATATGTATGTATGCGTACAGTGCTTGGCAAATGGGAACGCCGCTTTGAAGTCATGTGCGGCAGTCAACTTGTTACCAGTCAACAAAGTGACTAAACTAATGAAAGAGACTTGCTCCCTGGTATTCTCGCATCTAAAGGTGATGCAGCTTATCAAAAAGCACAATCTGCAGGTTTGATTCAAATGAGGGCAGTGTTTAACTTTTAAGGTCCAGGGGAGTAATTTCTTGCCACATCGAGAGAAAAATCTGACCTGGCTGAGGGCGCCGTTTTATGCACCTGATCCCCAAAAGTGGACAATTTTGTCTCGATAGAGGGCGCTGTGAAATCACTGCAACTGTCTTGACCCAGTCCAGGGGAGTGCTAATATGTGTGTGCATTTGGCAAATCCTGCAAGAGTGTGCTTTACAAAGTAAACAGTAGGTTTAGAGGCCAAATCCATTTGCAAGGAATGAAAATAGAAACGTGTTTGATCAAGTGACTCTAATCAAACTGAGGTCAAAAGGATGAATGTCTAGGTCCTTGACTTCCAGCAGTATCCCTCATAAAATGCAAATTATCCAAGGAGACGTCATTCCTGCTTGGCCATCGCACTTATTATACACGTGTCTTAATTTGACTACCTGGCAAGTCCTGACACCCTTGTGATCAGGCGTACCACCTGCCTGTGAATAGGATGGCCCCGCAGTAATGGCTTTTAATTCTGTGTTCCGGATCCATGTGTATTCTGCTAAAAAGAAATAGGTAATTGTGAGTAGTCCACTGACGCCAAGATATCTGCATAGGCTACTACATATACACCAGCTGACCATCATTGATGGAAAAAAATTGGGTCAAACTCCCTAATTTCCTCGCTTACTACACTTACACTACATGTAGGTTCCCTTTTTTTTCTGTAGTGATGAATGATGCAGTTTGCAGTCCCCTGAGAACATCCATGGTTTCTGTTGGTGACCCTTCTTTTCATATTCCCTGCCCTGGGGTGCCATTTTGTTGTTGTGCTCCATTCTTCATTGAAAAGTGTGTCACATGGGAGGCAGAATGCAGGAGAATAGTTTACGGTGGTAGTCAGGCAATTTGGAGCTGCCGAACACGATTTAATTAAATCAAAGAGAAGACAGGTGGCATAGTACCGCTTGTGGCATTGTCGGTAAAGACGCGCACGTATGTGCTGGCTCATATTTTTGCAGATGTAAGCCGTGCCTGAAGTACATTTACTCGGCTATGACTTGAAATTACACACGATGCTATGGTTAGTTGCTACAGCCACAATCATTGACTCGTAAGTAATTTCAAGCCACAGCCAAGTAATTCAGACACAGCCGTGAATCCAGATCTCCTCATACACAACTCGGAGAAAGAGCCACTTTAGTATTCCAACAGTGCATGCCCCAAATAAAACAAGAGCGAGGTCGCTTGGACGCATGTGCCAGGGTCTGCCCCATCAGCACAGCCGTATGTTGACTCCCGAATCTGCTGCATTGCGTTAAGACCTTTTTAAAATTAATTAACCTGCGCATTGATGTGGACTTACAATGTACATGTACAAAGTTAAAGTCTGAAATGACCACAGTTGCTGACGGCATGTTGCAGCTATTAGTAGGAGAGAGAGCATTTACATCAGAGTTTTTGCTGAAGTTTCAACTGAATTTCAACTCTTTTGTGGGATGGTTTTCATTTTCCAGAATTTATACCAGTGCATTCCATATTATTTTCTCTTGAGTAGCCAAAAGATCAAGGATTGATTTCACTCACAAACTCTGCTGGAATTGAATCCGCCCTTCTCTCTGTCATGTTTATTTCGGTCTCAGTTCTATTCAACTGGTTTATGTCTGTTCTTCGAAATCAATTCTCGTTCAACTCCCAAGTTGCCAGAACCCTAGAACAAATCCCATCCCCAAAGAGGTCCCCAGCCCTTCACATGCCACGATGAATTACTCCCGTTTGCCCTTAATTGTTACAGCTGAACTAAAGGATCAGGGTTTTATTTCCATAATAAGGGCTGTAACTAGACTTCTTGACATAATCCAGTCTTAAGGGTTACACTTGCCCTGAGACTCCCCTTAACCTCCCCCATGAGGGTTGAACAGAATTGCCCTTGTTTTTGGCAGTGGCTCGCTGTGGCCCGATGTGGCGTTACATGTAGTTATAGGTGGTTTTAGTCCTTGTGAGAAGTTCCAAGTTGTTGTGAGAAGTTCCAAGTTGTTGTGAGAAGTTCCAAGTTGTTGTGAGAAGTTCCAAGTTATTGTGAGAAAGTTCCAAGTTGGATCATTGTTCGCACACCAGTAGGAAAAATCCCCTGTTATGAGGGGGAGTCTGGCAAGGCCTGATCCAGACCCCATTTTAGTGGAGTTGGCCAAAACATGTAAGCAGCATCCTCAGTGCACTTGTGCATTAACTGATTGAACCAGTCACAAATAAGCAGCTGCTCAGAAATGGTGTCCTGAACAAAATGGCTCTGTCCATATGTAACCAGGTTGAGTTTTCGCCCTACTCTCACCTGACGCTGGTTCTGTTTCTTTCTTGAGTCACATGTTCACATTGACTCCGTTCCTTTCATTCCGTTTCAACTGCATCATGTATTGTATATTTCATAGAACATGTGGGCTGTACGTACGCGGTCATGCATAGATATTTTTGACTAGCGCCCTCTTGCGGTCTAACACTTGATTTCTTCTCACAGTTCCAACCCCGGTTACGCGCTGAATTAGAATACGATAGCATCCTCGCTTTTGTTCTCATTGAATGATAGACATTCTTTTGCACATTTTGTGAGTTTTCTTGTGAAGTAAAAATGTGCAGGTTGCTGATTTCACTCCAACTTTCGCCAGAGGGAACATCTCCCTTTCACCTCTGCGAATATCAATTACATTTCTGGGCCTGCAATTTATGGCATGTACGGAAGGCATGAGTAAGCAGTTCAACTGACAGTTCTTCGTCATCATCCCAGTTGACTGTCGTTTATTTTAATACCCTTGACATACCATAATAAAAACTTGTACATTGGAACTAGCTGCTTCCCCCAATCTTTATTTCTGGAGTGGATCCGCTCGGTAATACATACAAAACAACCTCAGTTCAAAACACTTAATATGTTGACTCTGATTGACTAAAAAATAAAACCTCATCGTTTTTTTTTGGGGGGGGGGGCATGGTCCCTGTTACCTTTGATTCAAAGGTAATGAACGAGGCACATGTTCGCTTGTACATTTTGAATTGTTCAATATCATTTGGAAGAAATTTTCAGTCTCACACAGAGAGTTGCTGCACATTTGCACATGCTTCAAAGTTCTGGTTTTCAGACCTCATCGAACTCAAGATCCAGTTCTCACGTTCAGTTCAGCAAAGTTCTTTGCTGGTTCCACAAGGACAGTCAATGGAAAGTTTAAAAATGTGGCACGGACCTTATTCATATTATGTCTTCAAGATAGTGGTTTTCCAGTTTCTTTGCTCATCCTATTGGCACTGGATGGAAAAGTAGATTTAAGCCACCCAATTAAGCATTGACGGAATTCAGGTTTTTCCTCAGGAATTTTTTTTTTCACCAGTCCTACTTTCCTGGCCCCTGGAAGTGGGCATTGTCATTTTTGAGTGATACAACCGATATACCCAGCTGGCATCAATGGGAACAAAATGGCTCAAAGGCTCTTTTGTACTCCCTGTTGTGATCCCGGTGGCATTTTACTTTTTCCAACCGATTTAATCTCCTCAAAATAGCCAGTTCATGGTAAGTTGTGGAAGTAAGAGCCTTGACTTCTAGAAGGCCAAAGCCACTTATTCACTGAATTCAGGAGAGCTTTGGTGCACCCACAGCGGTGTACATGTACTTTATCAAAGCAAGATAAACAGCTCCAATGGGGAGTACAGGTAGGTTTTAAAGGGAACAGGTTGGCCTTAGGAATTGTCTGAGTGACAGTCTGATAAACTGTCAGATTATACTCTTGGTTCAGAAAAGAGCCACTTTTTAGGGGTAATTGCAAGAGATTTGTTTACCAGTTGTGTTTCCTGGGGGGATGATGAAGTGGAGAGTTTCAGTGTGATAAAGAAGCTCTTCAGTTGCTGTGTCATAATGCAAATCTTTTTTATAGCTGAGAATTAGAAGAGTGAAATTTTGAAATTCATGAAAGTATCCCCAAAGAGTTGGAGCCTTTGAGTTCAGAAAAATTGAGATGGCGTTTATTGCATGACACATTTAAGTAGGACAGGATTTGTTAAATTCAACTGTAATTTGCTGAGTCAGAGTTTAAAAAACTTTAAGGAAAGTGTGGTCGATGTAAGTGTACACTCAGTGCCAGCTTTTGTGTGTTGTCTGACACCTCGAAACACATGTGTTTAATGACTGTGGCCCGGATCAAACTTCCAGAAAGTAAGCAAGTGAAATGAATGTCTCAAAGTATTTATTTTATGGTCAAACGTGTTGAAATGTATTCAACTTTTACAACTAAGTCATAATTCTCAGTCTGGTAGGTGACAGAAAAAAGCTTTCATTTAAATAGAGAAAGCAAAGGTGTGTAAACGTGTACAGGTGCACCTGTATGGCCAACTCAGCCTGGTAGGTGACAGAAAAAAGCTTTCTTTTAAATAGAGAAAGCAAAGCTGTGTAAATGTGTACAGGTGCACCTGTATGGCCAACTTCCTTCTTTAACCTTTGTTTGAACACATAATACCCGTAGATGTCTTTGTGGAACAAGACCATTCGTCAGCATACTTTTTGGGAGTTAAGCTTCACTGCTTTCTGTCATGATTGCCATTTGAAGTGCTTCATGTCATGTTGTTGGAGCCAAACACTTCATCCACTTGCCGAGCGTGACCTACATGCATCCAAACGTTCATTGGCAGGTAGTTTTTGACACAGGAAGATCTGTTATAGCATCAGTTCATTGGGTCACAGGGAAGTATTGCCGTTAACCGGTGACGAATGTGATTGAGTGCCCCATAAATGATTGGTGCTGCAAAAGGTCAAACAAAGGGAATTAGGGCAATAGGGACACATCTTAAATCCCAGCAATGTAAGGAATTAAGAACATGTTGACAGTAAAGAAAAACTCCAGCAAAAAACAGTATGCGCGTTGTAGAGAATTTTTATTAATTTGTAATGGCAATTCACAGAATAAACAAGCACTCCACCCACCCACCCTGTCTACGAAGGACATGGTTTCACATTTGTTTGGAATGTCAACTGTTTCCGTAGCAACCAGTGAGGACAGATCCAATGGGTGCCATCTGGTTTTTGGTCTGTCTGCAGACTGTCCATCTGTGGGTCATCATTCATACTCCAAGCCACTCAGAAGTCAAGTTGAATCACATGTACATGTACATAAACAAACTCTGCCCTTTCCAGAAACCGTCCACCTTGATGGATTTTAGGAAAGGTTCAATGTGGAGATCAAACCAAGAAGAAAGGGCATTGACCAAGAGGTGTACATGTAATTCTCACACTCTGTGAGAGTGCAGAGGCTAAGGGGCACTGATTTCCATGGGAAGTCATTGGCTTTGACATAAAAATGAACTTTCCATATAGAATCAGAATCTGTTGATGGTCCGTTGGGGGAAACTGAAAGCTTTTCAGGCTGTGAATCACTGAAGCTAATTACAAATTCCTGTTTGTTCATCTGATGCAAGATAATTCCTACTTCCAATCCCTGGAGATACACACAGTTTTGATATTCACAGATGCGCCCTCACATGGCATGAAAGTTAAGTGGCACTTTTAACATCCTGCAAAACTTGCCATAGTGTTCTAGATTAGTATGTGCACCTGCTCTCTAAGTGCTGTAAAGAAATACAAGTATTTCAACTCTTCATGTTTTGTCCAAAACTTAAACATTTTCTGTTTCTCATCAGTAAGTGTGTAAATGCACTTCACCTCCATCTGAAGACTGCACTGAATTATGCATGTACACGAACATGTAATGTACATGTACTTGCACTGTATTGGTATGGGCAATGACGGCTTCTGTAAATATTTATTTATCAATCAGTGTTGATATAAGAAGTAAGCCAAATCATGTTTGAGTTTGAGAAGCCTTGGTCAGCCACCTCTGCCAGAAGGTTAATACTCAGCTTCATGCTCTGATGGTCACTGCAGCCACGCAGCTGGGACAAACAGAAAGCCCCATGAAAGGTTGTCCCTGCTCTGCTAGCTGGCTGCCAGCCAGAGATCAGTGGCCCTGAAGTCTAGTCACTGACTAACACTCTGGCTGTGAATGCCTGCACAGTGTGTGCATCTGTACTGTGAGTGGGAGCTCGGTTCATAATTCCACACGGATGTCAGGCATCGACAGAGACACACTGTGTACCTCATGCCAGCCGAGGTGCAAGCAGCCCTGCTAGACTCGGCGCACAGATCACTTGTGTGCCAAGCTCACTTCGGAAGTTTTATTCCCTCTTCCTTCTTGGCCTTAAGCTGTCAGAACACCCTTGTGTGAACTTCAAGGAAGTTAAAGTGCCTACAAGATACGTGTACTGGCACATGTCGTGGATCAGAGAGTGCTGTATTTTAATTTTGCTGAAGAAATCCTCAGGAAAGTTGTACCCTCAAAAGGACCATGGGGAACTTGTGTTTCTCCTGGAGAGGCATCCGCTTCCCGGATGCATGTTGTTCAAGAGTCTTATGCTGCATTGTTTTCATTTTGTTGACAGTCCCTTCGACAACAACGCAACCAGTCACAGAGACCTCCCCTCCGGCCGTAAGGACGCCACCGCCACAACCGACACTCCCAACGTTGCCCCCGAAGCCGTCCTTCTGCCGTGGGGACAGTGACTTCCAATGCAGCAGTGGTGAGTGCATCGCCCTGGAGCTGCTCTGCAATGGCCGCTACGACTGCAACGACCTCTCGGATGAGCGGGCCTGCCTGTCTGGTGCACCTTGCCGCTTTACAGAGCGCTACTGTGATGATGGGCTGTGCTTCAATGCCAAGCTACTCTGTGATGGGATACCGCACTGCTGGGACGGATCGGACGAAAAGCCATCAGTTTGTGGTAAGCTGGATTAAATTTCTTTTTGAACTTTTCCGAAACCTCCAGTTGCCCACTTGCAGGAGAACAGTGTGCACTCCCTGCCAAAGTAAAATTTTTACAGGATTTCGTTTTTTTCTTCTGTGCTAAAAAACCCAACGGCTTATTGTTCCCCCAAAGCTTGGAAAGTTATTCACCGATTGTTTGTTGTTTGTAAGATTCTGATTTAGGAAGCAAATTTAGTCCTGTCCATGCATCAATCGATGTGGTATTCTCTACCTCCTGCCACCATGACTTTCCTCTTGTTCCTCGTCAAAAGCTTTTCCAGTCAGTTTGCCACGCCTTCCGACGACCCCTATCCAGTGATCTCATTTGATTGTTCACCACTGGTTGTATGACTGAATGTTTTTGCAAGGTTTCATCCCTGGAGCTAGAATTGTGCGCTCTTTTGATGGGCAGGTGGGAAAAAATAACAAGGGTGGCCTGGGTTGTTTTATCAGATTCAAAGCAAGACTTTGTTATGCCCCACTGGCAAAGCCGAAGGGGCATACTTGTTCTGTCCTGTCGTATTTTGGTTGAAGTCTCACTTGTAGTATTGGTGGTGCTTCCTGTTTTCTTAGCTTTGCTTGTTACTGGTACAGGTTTGTGGAACTGTCCATGTTTTTTTTAAGAGTTATCATTTCTGATCTTTAATCACGGCTGCTTGTTCACATTTTAATGTGGTCTTCCACGGGGCCCTGAGAATTAGAGTCACAAGAGAACAAATAGTAACAAAGGTGACATTTACAAATTGTAAAAATAACAGATATTCAGAATAATAGACAGTGAAGTTTTAGACTGAAATAATAAAAGTATATGACATCAACAAAAACTGAAAATTTAAAATATTAAAACAAGAAAAAAAAGTATATGTATGTATATATATATATGGGCAATAAACATGCACAACACAAATAACTATTTAAGTAAAAGTAACTTAAAGTGTAAAAATAAAAGAGAGTTATATAACAGAACGGTATTATGTTAACAAAGATGACAATAAAAGAACATTGATGAATTTAATTGAAAACAGTAAAAAATTAATACATTACAAACGGTACACAGTTAGAACCAACTTGCCAAAATAAGATGTAACTTACATGTATAGGGTGCAAGGTGTAACTTGTAACTGGTTTGTTTAGGGGACAAGCAAAACATGCTGAGCAGTTGTGTAAGATTTGTTGCTTGAGCATGCTAGAAGAAGTAAAAGCGTTATGTCTGGCCCTTGCACCCAGCAACTCTTGCAGACCTGAACTTGTCTTCCATTATCTGAGTGCTGACTGATTGTTTTAATAAGTGGTGGGGGGAGGCAGTGACTTCTTTGCCACTCTGCGATTTGAAGCAGAGACAAATGCGGTAGATTCAATTGATTGGTTTGTGGTCAGCCAATAGATTGATGAATGTGAGATTGGTGAATGGATATTACATGTAGTTGACTGGTCTGTTAAGTACTCCTCAGGAGTTGTTAGCCAGGAAGCCTTCCTGAAAATGTGAAAATTTCTAACTCTCATGGGGAGTTCATGTCTGTGTACCCACGTTCCTGTACCCTCCTCCACACTTTTCTAGCGCTGCAAAATCTGCAACCTTTGTATTCTGTATCATTTACACAAATTTAATTATTACATGTATGAATGTATTTGTGGAGGAGGGGGCAAAATTAAAATTGATGTGATAAAATTGAATTTCAAATTGAAGTGATATTTAGGTTCATAAATCACAGACAGTAAATGTAACCAATTCATACGTATTCCTGGAATCTACTTCTCCACTCATACATCCAAATGATCTGTTTACAGCCAAGAACTCAGTCTTTCAACTAAACACAGTCTTCCATTGCATGCAGCAAAATAGAAGTTGTGCCCGATTTTCGACTTAAAAAAGAAAAAACATTCCCCATGTGAATTGACCTACATCTCTTCCGACACAGACAATGCTCTCGGGTAATTTTGAGGTTTCCATAGAATTTTAGCCGGGAGCATGACTAAACGGATTCTTACTTTGTGCATTCACACGAGTACATCTACAGTACATTGCATAAATTCAACACGTGCACTGTTCTGTTTACTTGCATTACAGACTTTGCTGGCTTTCCCCTCAGATGTTTAGTTCAGTTTATCCGACTATCCGAAAAATCATGTATTCGTTCGGGGCAGCATTTACATTTTTGAGAGGCTGAAACCTTTCACCCTCTGCGCCTCGGGCAAGCAGATCAAACAACCATAACAGGCCAAGAATTTGGAAAATCTCAAATGGAAGCCGGCTGACCCTGTTCCCCCCCCCCCTCTTTTCTTTGACAGAAGATCTCCGGGGAGACGGTGATATTTAGTTGGTAGGTGAAGCCATGGTAGACCGGCACTGGAAGTAGGGAGGATTATGCGGGCTTAATATTCAGAAGAATCAAAGTTGACTTTTTGGGGGCTTGCAGCCCGCTGGAAAGAAAGGCAATCGGGAAGAAAGGCTTAGGAACTCTGCCTCCTATACGTACATGTACATGTACAAATAACTTGGGTGAACACCTCGTCTCTGTAACAATACAAATTTAACTTGAACATGTATAATCAAGCGGTACAAACAACCAGCCCGTGCACAATAGGCCTACTCTAAAATTACAGTATTTCCACTCAGTTTTGTTTTTACACATGAGATGTTTCATTTTATACTTCTGTAGGAGGGTGATTCTATAAATTAGGGGTCCAACTTGGGGACATTTTGGTGTCCTGTTACACGTGAAGCCATTCAACTTTTCTGCATGTAAAATTGTAACCACATTATCAAACATTGTGCAGATTGAACTGTGTATTGTACAAGTCATAAACAATGTAATCCTGTTTGATCTACAGAATGTGAACAGTACTAATATTAGTTCCATCCAGACAAGCTGAATGGTTTCACCCGTAACAGAACACCAAAATTTCCCCAAGTTGGACCTCTAATTTATATAATCACCCAGGGCTGCCCTTAATTAAGTCTGACTCGCAGGATAAGCATTAAATGTAGGCAAATCCAAAATGTCCTTTGGCAGGTCATGTTTCTCTGTTATCATTTGAAATGAACTCTAAAATTTGACATCACTGGGATGTCATTCTGGTGCAATATTTCACACAGTTTCACAGACATTCACAATTGTGGACTTCGGTGACCGTGATTTGTGAACCTTAATTACATAGACGATGTTGAAGGGCTTTAAATTAAAGTATGGACCCCCCAAACCAGCTTGGACAATCCCTGATTGGTTTTAGTCCATCTGGGCTGTGTCACAAGCTCCCTTGGAATTTATACCAATGTGCTCTCAAGGATATGCAGTACATGGTAATTTGAAATTCTCTGTTATGTTTGAATAGAAACTTAAAAAAGCAAGGCTATAGTTTATTTTATTTTAGCCATTGACATGCACATTAGGACGCGTTTCCACATTTATGACTGCAATGCAGAATGAGCATTTTGCATGGGTCCACATCTAAGGCTGTGCCGAATATCCGAATAATCGATCGATTATCGAATATTCAAATGTTATTTTCCCAATTTGAATATTCGAATGCAAAATTCATGAAAAGAAAGGGAGAATTTTCTTCTGTTTCAAATAAGAAAAGTTACACTGTGGAGGATTGTTTCAAGCAGATTCAACTGAAAAGCGACAGATATCTTACGATTCCAAAAGTAAATTACTCATAAAAAAATTTAAAAGGAATAGAAATTTTCAACAGGGCAGGTAATTTTCATCTTTTAAATCTTGCTAAATCGTGGCTGGAGATACTCCTGGACGTGAGAAAAGCTGTTACATGTATAGTGCTTTCAATGTACAATTGTGTGTGTTATTGCAACTGATTTTGTATATGGTTTGTTCATCAACAATCTGCTTGTCAGTCCGACCGAATATTCAGATATTCGATCAAATTATTAAATGTCATGTATCCAAATAGTGAATTATTCAAATTGACTCAGCCCTATCCACATCCCATGTTTTTGTTTCTTAGATGTCGACATTCTGTCTAGACGGTTGACTAGCTCATCACACATTAAATATACAGAGAGGAGAATCAGTTTACTTACACTGATACTGAAAAATGTCTGTATAAGCTGCATGTACACGTGTGTCATTCTTGTAGTCATACTCAGCAGAGAATCTTGTGGGGAGCAAAATCCTACTCAGCTAAGTCTTTTGGCAGGACCAGTTGATGTGAACACGTTCTAATATGTATGGCTTCCAATCAGATTTTTATTTGCCCTGAAAAGTGTCAGTACTCTTGATGAGGATGCACAAGTTGAATATAGTTGGCATATGCAGCAAGGTATGAGAC